ACTCTTTCCTCTGCTTACCCTGCTTCTAGTTTCCCTGTTATTTATGGACGGCTCACTGTTTTTCCCTCCCTTCCAATTCTCTTCCTAATTATAGGGGCATCTTTGAAAGCTCTCAGATGTGCCCTATAGTTATTCTCAGTTTCATTCTCTTCTTCCTGCCTTATACAGTTTTCAGAACAGAAACCAATGTGTATTTGAATTTTTATTTTTTTTCAGACTGGGAGATAAGACTTGAAACCAAAGAGTCAACTACAAAGCCCTAATTACTGAAGATTTATCTTATGGGGTAATAATGGAAAGAGAAGGTCTCTGGCATTCTTCTTTAGGGGAAACCTGGGAACCTGATAATTGGTTAGAGGGGCAACAGAAAATCCAGGATAGACATCTGGGCCAAGTGCATATTACCCATAAGGAAACCCTCACTGTGAGAAGGACATGTGGAGGTAATGAATTTGAAAGATGTTTCAGTCAGGGTTCAATCATTGATACACAACAAACTATTCCTGTGGGGAAAAGTCCTCACAGTTGGAATTCACATGGAAAAGACACTAAACAAAATGCTGAATTAATTAAAACTCAAAGAATGTTTGCAGGAAAGAAAATCTACGGATGTAATGAGTGTGGGAAAACCTTCAGCCAGAGTTCATCCCTCCTTAAGCACCAGAGGACTCATACAGGGGAGAAACCCTATAACTGTAATGTATGTGGGAAGCACTTCATTGAACGCTCCTCGCTTACCGTACATCAAAGAATTCATACTGGAGAGAAACCTTACAAATGTAACGAATGTGGGAAAACCTTCAGTCAGAGCATGAATCTTACTGTTCATCAAAGAACTCATACTGGAGAGAAACCATATCAATGTAAAGAGTGTGGAAAAGCTTTCCGCAAGAATTCATCCCTTATTCAACATGAAAGGATTCATACTGGAGAGAAACCCTACAAATGTAATGAATGTGGTAAAGCTTTTACCCAAAGTATGAATCTCACAGTGCATCAGAGAACTCATACAGGAGAAAAACCCTATGAATGTAATGAATGTGGAAAAGCCTTCAGTCAAAGTATGCATCTTACTGTACATCAGAGAAGCCATACTGGAGAAAAGCCCTATGAGTGTAGTGAATGTGGAAAAGCCTTTAGTAAGAGCTCAGCTCTTACCCTGCATCAGCGAAATCATACTGGAGAAAAACCCTACAAATGTAACAAATGTGGGAAATCCTTTAGCCAAAGTACATACCTTATAGAGCATCAGAGACTTCATTCTGGAGTAAAACCTTTTGAATGTAATCAGTGTGGGAAAGCTTTCAGTAAGAATTCATCTCTTACTCAGCATCGGAGAATACATACTGGAGAGAAACCTTATGAGTGTATGATATGTGGGAAACATTTCACTGGGCGATCATCCCTTACTGTACATCAGGTTACTCATACTGGAGAGAAGCCTTATGAATGCAGTGAATGTGGAAAGGCCTTCAGCCAGAGCGCATACCTTATTGAGCATCAAAGAATTCATACTGGTGAGAAGCCCTATGAATGCAATCAGTGTGGAAAAGCCTTCATTAAGAATTCATCCCTTAGAGTGCATCAGAGAACTCATACAGGAGAGAAACCCTATCAGTGTAATGAATGTGGAAAAGCCTTCAGTCGGAGTACAAATCTTACACGGCATCAGAGAACCCATACGTGAGGGAAGCTTCCATGGGATCCTTCACCGTGATGAACTCTTCAGTGATAGATCAGTCATGTGCTGTAGAAACCTAATAAATGTAACGATTGTAGTAATCTTTTAGTTGAAGTATAATATACCATATCAGAAAATACAGACCACTGCAGAGAAACCATATAAAAGTGGAGAAATCTTGATTCAGAAAGTAAAACTTTATACCAGAAGGTTTAAGTAGCTAATGTTCTAAGCAATGAGGATTCATGCTGAGGATAAGTTCTATTGTATTATACTGCAGATTCTCCTTTGGACATCAGAGACTTCACACTGGAGAGGAAATGTGAGAGTGCTTAACTGGATAGCCCAAAGACCTGGTATGTAATCCTGATCTGCCACTAACTTGGACAAGTCACCTACTTTCACCAGGTCCCAGTGTCCTTATTTGGTAAATGAGAGATTTTAGATTTAGAAGGCTCCAAGATCCCTATAAGATCTAAAATGCTACAAACATAAATATGCTTGATTTTTCACCATGTTATATATGTTATCTAGATGCTCCTATTCCATAATCTGGTTTCCCTGAATGCTGAGTCAAAATTCTCTACCTCTACCAATTTCTATTATCCCTCCATGTCCTTCCCCCTCTCCCTGTTACTTTCTCCTCTGAAATATTGGCTGCTTGCTACCAGGTGATAGAATAATTGTGCAAATCTTAATGCAATAGCATGCTGTTTTAAGTTCTCAATTAACAGTCATCAAACTATTGTTAAATAAGCTAATTACTTAGAAAACAATATAACAAATATAGTCTTTGAGCACATAGGATTCAAATACATCTTTGTGTTGTACTCTATCAAAGTGGAAAGGAGAAGAGGCTGAACACTAACAGAGATGAAAATTTGACATATTAACAAAATCTTTGCTACTCACAACATATTCAAAACAATCATAGAGAAAGATTTTATTGATCTATAGTTATGAGAATAGTTAAGGCAATTTATTTTATACACATTTAATAAGTGCTAAATAGGTGATAAATATGATTAGGAAATCAAACTGCATAAGATTGTTTTGTTTTCCAAGGACTGAACCGAGAAACTGGCAGTGGTATGGGAGAGGAAAGGAAGAATTCAAGCAATAATAAGGCAAATCTAGGTAATGTAATCAACTAAATGTGAGCACTTGAATTTATTTGGGTGGATGGGTGCCATAATTAAGAACACAAAAAGTTGACTGACTTTATGGGGCAATGATGAGTTTGGTCTGGGGATATTTTATGAGTCTGTGGGTATCCAAGTGAAGTTTCCTGTTAGGCAGTAGAATAAGTAGAAGGGGCAGTGATAAAGGGTTTTCTGGGAGTACTGTCTTTGAATGCAGTAAGTGGAAGGCATCATCAGTAGAAGCTGAGGGGAAACAACAGGCAAAAGAAAAATGAAAAACAAAGAAAAATTGGGAGAAGGTGGTGGCATAGAAACAAGAATTTTAGCATAGGGATAGGAATATTTCATATTTTCAAATGCCACAGAGGATTAAAGTAAGATAAAAATAGAAAATGGCCTTTGGTTTTGGTTATTGATAACCTCTGTAAATTTTAGTGGGTTGAAGAGTGACTTAAAGGTTGAAAAGGACTTAGTAGTTTGAGAAAGGAGAGGTTTAGGAAGATAACTGAAGAGAGATTGTGGTTGAGAGAGGGTGTATATATCAGAAGAGCTTTTGGCTACAAATAATAGAAAGCCCAGATAACAATGGCTTACAAGCAAATAGGGATTTGTTTTTCTCCCATAACAAATCTGGAGGTGGTTGGCATTGGTTCAGACAAAATAACTCAATGCCTTGAGTTTCATGACCTTTTTATCATGTCACATGATGGCTCCTATAGCTTCAGGTAAAATATCTGCATTCAGAGGAGGAAGAAACGGGGTGTGTAGCACCAGCAACATCTGTGCCTTTTATCAGAAAAGGTTTTCCCAGAAGCCCCTCAGCAGACTTCTGCCTAAACCTCACTGACCACAGCTGTGTTGCATGGAGGCTAGGAGCAAAGGAGGCTGAAAAAAATAAGTACTTAGCTCTTCCAGCCTCTATAGAGGAGGTAGGCAAAGAAAAGGGGGGATTGAGAAAGGTGTTGATTTAGCCAACGAATAATCTGCCAAGAGCATTTGTATGATTTAAGGTAGAAGAACTGAGCATGTTTATCACTGCATGGGAGAGTCTGAAGGTGCAGAAAGGAGGGGATGTGCAGCTCAAAGTGGGAAAATAAGATTTGGGGCACAGGTGGAGGCTGGCAGGGATCTTTTTTCAACAGGAGGAAGGAAACTTTCCATTGGGAGAGGTGGGAATCAAGAAACAATGGGTACAGAAGATATCTGTGGGTGGCAATGGAGGAGGTTCCCCATGGACTCTGAGTGTTTGGAATTTGAGCAGTTTGGTCTCTTTGGGCTACAGGACCTCTGTGGAATTAGAAAAGGCAAGGACTAAGGAGGAATGAAACACTGAATTAAGTGTAACCTCAGAAACTTAAGATTTTAAATAATGTCTCTCCCTTGCATCCAGTTTCTTCCTTTCTCTTCATGTATTTTCTTGTTCCCCACCTGATCTCGAGACAGAAATGGAGGGGAAGAAGGATGCAGAGAGATGGGCAGAAAACAGATGGGAGATTATAAAGACAGTAGCAAAATTAAAGCCTCAAAAGGAAGGCAGAAGACAAGGGGGAAAGGAAGAATAAAATGTATTGAAGCCTAAGATGGATGCAATAACCCCAAACTGGTAAAATATTAACACTTAGAGGGAGCAGCAGGAGAAATGGGTCAGATAAATGGGTCAGTAGAAGGTTTCACTACTTTTTCAGGAGTTTTGGAAGCTTCGGGCCCTTGTATGTCAGTTCTCAGCCATTCTGGGCAAAAAGTCAGGAGGAAACTTCTGCACCTTTCCTCTATCAGCAGGGGCAGGACTCCTGGTCCCACTTACTAGACATGAGACCTTGCGCAAGGCACTTAATATATCGCTGTCTCAGTTTTCTTATTTGTTAACAGTGCGAACCTCATAGCTTTGGATTACATTCAATGCTAATGTAAAGTGCTTATGAAAGTGCCCAACACATATTTAGTGCTCAATAAATATTTTATTATTATTATCCTTATATATCTGAAAACAGAACAATATCCAAACTCCTTAGCATGGCATCCACAACCCTCAATTATCTTAGGCTATCAAAGCAAATGCCTTGTAGCAAAGTGATATAATTGTAGGAGGCTCTCTCTTCCACCCACCCCGCCCCCCCCCACTGGTGTAACAGCCTCCTAACTGGTTTCCCTGTATTCCCTCTAGCCGTACCACAGCCTGTTCGCCCCACAGCGGACCAGTGATTCTGTCAAAATGTGTTCAGCCAAGCCACTCTTTTGCTCAAACCCCTTCGAAGGTTTTCTGTCACACAGAGAATACATGCAAACTTTTTACGATGTCCTTCAAGCCCTCTAATTACCCTTCCAACCCCCTCTCCCACTCTCCTTTGTTCACTATGCCCTCTCCTGTCACACTGGCCTTGCTAAACCACAGGCTCACCAAGCACACTTCTATCTCTCGTCAGCATTTCTATTCTCTTCCTAGATATGCACATGGTTTCCTTCCTCACTACATTCAAAACTCTGCTCAAATGTTACCTCCTCAAAGAGAACTTCTCAAAACGCTGCTGAAAATAATTCCCACCTCCCCACCCCCATCACACTCTAAACTGTAACACAGCCTCAATGTGTCATCACTACCTCATCAATATTTTGTTTATTGAGTACCCCCTCTAGTAGAATTCAACCTGCATAAGTGCAGGGTTTCACTATTTCTCCAGCCCCTAGAACAATGCCTGACACATATATGCTCCAAAAGTGTCTATAGAATGAAATCTTCAGTAAAAGCCAAAACAGAATGCCATAGTGTCACGTAAGTAAAGTCACTGACACTGCTCACTAAGAGGTCCATTCTTGGCTTTTTTCCGCCACCGACAAGTTAAAACTCTCTCATCTTTCCTTCCCGAGCTTCGTGAAAATTCAAAGGCAACTAAGTATCTCCAGTTGGATCTTTCTATATTTTACCTCATCCTTGCCCGCCTCCGTACTGTCCACAAAAATAAATACCACCTCTCTAAATACCACCCTGTTGTACAAGACAGACTCCTTGGCATCCAGCTCCTTCCTCCTGATAAGTCGTGGAGAACCAAGTTTATTCTACCTGTCGACGTTTCTCGCGCCGTGCCCTTGGTCCCGTGGCCACCACTCTGGTCCCAGCCACTATCCGCTGGGTCCTGAACTGCCGCAGCAGCCTCCTCACTGGTCCGCAGGCCTTCGGCCCGCACCTCCGTCCTCCCGGTCCCCGGGCCCCACTCATCGCCCGAACCACGCCCCAGCCCGAACGCCAGGCCACACTGTTAGCATTTTTTGCGTCCCCGTGGCCGAGGCACAGTCCCGCTGCCTTCTCAAGTCATCTCCGCGCGGTCCTCCCTCAGGAACGCTCCTTTTCGTCTTGTCGCCTCCTTCTGAGTCCTTGGGGGCTGTACTGGATCAGCTTTACTCACCGGATCAGGTGCCACTTCCTCGGATTGACCTTCCTCGTCCTTTTGTTAACTTTTCGCTGGTCTCTGCCTTCCCTAGCCTGACCCAAACGGAACCAAATCCTCACGTGCGGGTTAGCGCGCGGGCGGTTACCTGCCTAGGGAACCGTGACGCCTCCGCCGAGGTCCCTGGGAAATGTAGTTTCTGCAAGGAAACCCCCTTGGCCTGGGTGGGGTGGGGGGTGGGGGTGTTGAGCGGCGGGGTCCTAATTGCTCAGGCGCGCAATATCAGTTTCTCCGCCCGGCGCTGGTGCGGGCGCTTGCGGCCGATTCGCCCTCTGGGAAGTGGAGTCTGCGAAGCAGAAGCGCTGCAGCTCTCTGACTTGAGGGAATCCGGCTCGGCGGGTCTCCCGGCAACGCGCAAGCGCAGTTCGGATCCGGACTGCAGACTCCACTTCATTGTGTTCTGCCTGCGATGTGGCGGTGGCGGTCTCTCGCCGCGGGCAGAGGCTCCTCGAAGGGCAACCCAGTGGTGACTAGACACGGTGGCCGAAGCCGCATCGGGAGAGCGGGAGCAGCCTTGGGGTGGTGGAGCCCGGTGGGAAGGGCGGATGAAAACCGAGTAGGTCTGGGTCGTGGTCCGTTCTGAAGGACGGTAATTTGATGCCCCAAACTTCCCGGGACGTATGGCTAAGGTTTGATTCCAAAGACAAAAAGGCCAGGTGTGAGCTCTCGGGTTTACGGTACGAATCTGCGGGTGCATGTGGAAAAGGATGCGGTCAGGGCCTCTGGCGTGTGTTTTGGAAACGACTCCGGGAAGCCCATTTACGCTCTGTGGTAGATGCTCCCGGTGTGGTCCGGATCACAGTATCCGGAACTCGCTGAGGCCGGGTCAGCAGCTGCGCAGCCCCTGCAGCAGCTTCCCAGGGGACCTGGCAGAGGGCGGGAGGGTGTGTTGTACGATTAACATCCGTGGCGCCCAACGCCTACTCCCACCCCCACCCCGCACAAATACACAGCTTCTCTCCCACCTTTGACTCCAGGTCTCCCAAACTGGGCGCCAGAGAAGGAGAGGCCTGAGGCCAGAGAACGGCATGGCCTTGAGAGACGTCTCGACAATGAAAATCCAGCCTTCTTAGCTTCTTTTCTAGGAGAAAGAAGGCGACCCTCCTTCTCTACTTCTTTCACTCCCCGCCCCAGGATTAGGCAGCCGTCCAGGCAGGAGACACACTTTTCTTGAGATCTCTCAGCATAATTTAAGGGCAAAAGGCTGGAGAGTGTGTAGAAAGTGTGAAAACGGGCTGGAGGATGCTTTCTTCAAGAAAAGTCAAAGTATTTAAATACAGAAGGGAAGATATGGTGGATCTGACTCAGATTGCTAGGGGGAAAATTGGTGGGGGCTGGTGGGAGTAGCTGCAAGGTGGGCTATTCCCTTTACAGAGGAGGCCATCAGAAAGACCCTCCAGGAGGAGAGAGGATTGGGAGCAAATAGGGACTAAGAATTCACTACCTGGAGTATTGGAGGATTCCCAGGGTATGAATGCTCAAAGCCCCACTCTGGACTGCTGTGTGGTATCTTTTGACCCAGTCCTCTCCTCATAAACAGTAGAAGGTGTTACCAGCCTGAGGCTCATCAGAGAAGAAGGAATGGCAGTCAGGTGCCTGCCAACGGTGGTCCAGGTGAGTGAGGGATTGCTGTGGGCTTCCCCCTCTAAATTGCCTTAGGAGATTTGAATGTAGTAGTTGAAGAGGGTGGGCCTGTTTCTTTCCCCTGACCAGGAGCTTTTCTCCCAGTCCAGTCTCACTCAGGAGCCTGACCGGCTCCTGCCACCACCCCCCCCATCTTGGGCACATCCTGGTGGGTGTCAGAGCTCAGGAACTTGCTAAAGTTCACCTAAGTGACACAACTGGAAGTGAAACCCAGGTTGGTCCAAAGTGGAAACCTGCACTCTTTC